AGCCCACGTGCGCAAGCCACTTCATTGCCCCTTGAGAGGAGTAAAAATAGAACCTAAAGGTAAATGTCCCAAATCCAAGAAGATTTGAAGTGACTTTTTGGCCTTGCCAGAGGCACTTTCGGTCCCTTTAGTGTCTGTTGTTTATGTTCGCCTTTCCTTCTGCAACTCCTGAAATTCAGACCTGCTTGGTCCTACTGAGCCAGTTCCAGCAAGGTGTGCCAAGAATTCAGTGTCCGCGGTAGAGCTTGTGATGGAAGTGATGGTCTCAGAGGTGTATTTCGCAGCTGAGTGAGGTGAACAGCGTCTTTAAAAAGGCATTTCTACTTTGGCAAAGTTCTCACCACACAGGAATCCACAAAAGTTACTCTGCAACTGGAAAACAGTTAACTTTTTAGTTGCCATTTTTGGGTCAATGCTGCTGGCAGCCATCTTGCTGAATTGAGCCTTAGCGCAGCGAGTAGCATTGCAAGAGCCAAGAGAGTGTGGTTTCTGAGGGGATTCTTGTTTTCGTGTGCCTACCTGTCTGAAACAGTGTTTGAGAAGTTGGCGTCTGGAGCAGGGGTATGAACTCACTGCTTGGTTGTCACGGGCTGTTCCAGTAAGTGGCTGCAGTCATCAGATATCTCACTCGTTTGCTTCAACGAATAAAATGGTTTATGGATTTGTTTTTTTTGTTTAATACTTACCAGTTCAGTCTGTAACATGGATGTTCAGGATGGTAAGAAACTGTTGACAGGTTTTAAGCTGGAAGCGATTTCATGAGGATATTGATAAAAAGGCACACTGGCATGCAGAAGGCATGACTGTTTTCACTTTCATTACTGCAGCTGGAATCAGTTTGACTCAGTTTGACAGACTTGCAGGAGCGACTTATTTCCTTAGTTTAAGTGAAGCTTCGGAGATTGGTAGTCGTTTACAGAAGGATCGTTAATTGGTAATTACTTTCTGCTCTCGCTTGTCATACCACCCACCATAACGCATGGCCTCTGGGCATTGTCACGTGCTGAATGAGGGGAGCTCTGACACACAGAAAAACGATGCAGTGATGCAGAAGTTCTAAAAAGTCCCCTTCCCTGTGTCAGATGGGGCTGTTGAACTGCTTTACTGAGAGAGAAAAGTAGGCTAAGGATGGGAACTGGGAACCTTTTATTTTGGTCTTCAGGGCTAGTGTATATTTGCTTCAATTTTATTGATGTCTTGCACTTTACATGCAAGTTTGGCCATTAGCTGTGCTGGGGATTATGTCCTCACTTCGGGCCTCTGTGTAGGGGCAGGCTCGATGCAGGCTTTGAATTTCCTTTTAATTCCAAAACAGCTCTAAAGCTCCGTTTTGTGTTCAGTTTATCTCTTTGTTGAGTCAATGAAAGAAAGGAGCGAGAGGGAAAGTGTGTGACGGAGCTGACAAAAGGGGTGGGTAGGGGAGATGATCTAGAGGATTTGCACCAGGCCCTCTCTGTCAGGAAACTCATTGAGGAGCTTTAAAAATTACCTAGGTTAGCTGTCTGTCCTACCCTTCACTGAAGCTTACTAGCACATGTAGGAAAGTTGTCAGGAGAAGCCTTGACCCATGCCTTAGGCTTTCCTGCTTGGTATTTTCTGTTCAGGCTCTCTGATGCACAGATGTCAGGGATTGTCTGAGCACGGTTAAGGTGCGCAGACATACTTTGCTCCATCATCTCAGTTGCAGAGTGACGGCCCCCCAGGAGAGATGCAATGAGGGCAAATGGTGATGATAATAATGTTCTAAATTGCTACTGGAAGAGGGGTAGTGCTTGTCTCTTGCAAGTCCTTACCCTTGTCTGTAGGAGAAATAACATCGGTCTCCTGTGTAGCTGACGTGTAATTTCGTAACACCTTTGTTTCTTTGTCTGCAGAACTGTCCAGTCAGGTAACTGAAGCTGACCCCGCACATTTAGATGCCTGCGTGCTGTTTCTTGGAGACCTTTATTCCATTTTTAATGCCTTCAAGCTTTTTGATTGCTTTAAGTGCAGTAATGGACTGACAATATCGATCCAGCCCTCCCTCCTTACTTAAGAACTGAATCTACAGTTTCCTCAGTGCTAAAACTTTTTTCTCGTATTCAGCAGAACCAAGTGGACCTCTTGCTGTGCTCTTCAGCACTGCTGTGTGTCAGGAGGTATCTGAACTTTCTTTCCAGATTTATACAGCTTTTGGTTTGTTGACAATTTTGGTCCAAAAGCTTCCACTTGCTGACCAGTTCCTCTTCCATTTATTTTTATCTTGGGCCCCAGACTGGTTTTTAGGCTGCATGGCAGTCTCTGCATCCTGAGGGACAGCCACTCAGCTTCAGTGACAGTTTACGTAGCCAAAGTCTGGCCGCGGTTTCTTATCAAAGGCCTTTGGATCCACATCTCATGTGCAGAGGGTTATGAGTTACATTCACAGTTAGAACAGGCTCAATAGGAGTATTGTTTCTTTCTGGTGTCCCTTAGCTCAAGTTTTAAAATCTAGCTGCTAAATTAATTTCCAGTGTCCAGGAGCTAATGGTGAGGCAAGGTCCTTACAACTAGGTTGTTTTTATCCTCTCTTTTAACCACAAGATCCTGTCTGACCTGACAATGTATTCATTCAGTTTTCTTACTGCTCTCAGTTTTTCTGTAAATCTCAGACCTTTTAGGACTTTACCAAGACCACGTTTTAGGTTGAAGATGGAATTCATGAGCTCCTTCCAGCATGTACCTAGCAGCCTTTCTTCTGTCTTTTGTGGCTCAGAGAATGGACCTGTAACATCTCACATGGTCATCGAAAGGGATGGATATTGATGTCTTACCTCTTGCACTCTTCAATGGAGAGAGGGAAACATGACTTTCCCAGTGCTGGCAGTCCTGGAAAGACATGTCTTACAACTCCTTCTTTTGTTCACTTAAAATAGTGTTGTGTCTCATTTCCAACATGTTTCCTATGCTACCAGGGCTTATGCAAAGCTTGAAAGCCTCTCAGAAGCAAGCTGGCTGCCCTCAGAGGCTTGCTTGATATTGTTACCCCTTTTAAGTGTCTGAGAAAGGAGCCAACACCGCATAGTCTGTCTGGGAAAAACCTCCATCTTGAGAGGCGGGGGGACCTCGGGTCGCATCACACTGTAGGTATGTCACCCCTCTCTGATGTACTTTTAAAAATGCAGTGAGCGTGCCAAGTGACGCACCGCTGACACTCTCTGTGTTCGTGCTGTGTGGCTGCTTGCTCTGCCGCTTCCACTCAAAGTTTGATTTCTTCTGATTATTCTGTCCCTAAAAGAGTGGAATCAAGCCAAAGTGTACGGCCAACACCGTCGTCCACAAAGCTTCCTACTCTTTGCCGGTGCTTGCTGCTTGCTTAGGACAAAGGAAGACTTGACTTTTCTTTGTCAGAATCAAACCAAACTGTGCAAAGTTTTCTGTTCCTACCTTAGACACTGGCACATCTGGAATACTTTTGAGAAAGTAGTCAGGCGCCCGCCAAGGGAAGTGACAGCAGTCTGCCACGGTTGTTGCAAGCTGAGGTACAGCTTCCGAGAGCTCCTCAGGAATCAGTTGGTTCAAATTCTTGTTTCTTTCATAATGAATTATGTGCTGTACTAAATTCTGAGGGAAATTACTTAATGTGCCTTTCCTCCATTTCTTTGTTGTTTAATTTGCTCCATTTTGTCAAGGCTAATGAGTTATCTGTCATATTTCTTGTGGTGTAGTGGGCTAGAGCTGCCGTGACTCCTGTGAAGGTATTATGGAAAGATGCTGATATCCTAAAAAGAAACCCCCATTTTTCATGAGGACTTGAATATTTCTACTGGCTTCCTAGGTTTAACTAATAGGCCTGGACAGGCTAAACTCTTACAGCTCTTCTGGTCAGGGGAGCTGCAGCATTGTCCTTTAATTCCCCTATTTATCCAGGATTTGACACCAAATAGACTTGAACTTTTGTTTCGGTCGCAGTGGTTACATGGAATTTCAGATGAGTCTGACTAATTCTTTTAGGCAAAACATCTTACAGTCAGCAACATCTCACAGACCACTTCTTTTCATAGGTAGCTTCATAGCTATTTCCATTTAAGGCTAGTAAAGTAGTTATATTTACTGACAGAAAACACTGTACTTTGAACTCCTGCAACTGGTACCTGGGAAGAATATTCTCCTTTGTCTTACAAATAAGTTTCTAAAAGACAAGACAACAAAGAAACTTGTAGAAAATGGAGATGAAAACAGGGGGGTGGCTGGAAAGGGGGGAGCAGTATCACTCAGCCTCATAACTTCTGTTTTCTTTGCCAGTTCTAAAGCGGATGACTTATCAACTGCTATTCTGAAGCAGAAGAACAGGCCCAATCGGTTAGTTGTTGACGAAGCCATCAATGAAGACAACAGTGTTGTGTCACTGTCCCAGGTGCGTCATCTATAAAAGCAAAGCATTTAATCTGGTAATTCGCCAGCTGTTGCTGTGTGTTTACTTGAAGTGTAACTTTGCAACATGAATCCAAGTATTTGTGTCAGAAGTTGCAGCTGTTAAGAGTGAGGGAGGATTGTCTTGTCTTGTTTCCTAACTCTCTTCCATGACCAAATGTATTTTGCTTCTCAGTTTGTAGAATTCAGTTGAGCTTGTGCCCTTAGTCTGGCTTCAGGGTTAGCTCTTGACCAGTGTAGTGGGAGCCTGTGTCCTTGTAGATTTAGCATATCACTTCCAAGATGTAATTATCCAAAGTCAAGTAACTCTCCTTCAAATGCTTGAGTTTCTGTTTTGTCAAAAGCTTGTTCTAATGCTGTTAATGTTTACAGGCAAAAATGGACGAATTGCAGCTGTTCAGAGGAGACACTGTTCTGCTAAAAGGAAAGAAGAGGAGAGAAGCAGTCTGCATTGTTCTGTCAGATGACACCTGCTCAGATGAGAAGATTCGCATGAATAGGGTTGTTCGCAACAACCTGAGAGTGCGCCTGGGTGACGTGATCAGGTGAGGACTCGTTCGAGAACTGTTGCATATCCCTGGGTTGCCTAAATAATTTGTGGGCTGGCTCTGAATTGATTGAGTCAGTGGCAGAGACAGGATCTGCAGGAGGTACTCTTACATCTTCCAGAAGAGACCACAGAAATGTTTTCAAGTGTGTGGCTTACCTTGGGGATCTCTGTTTACTTTTGCCTGTGTTTCTGGCTGTACACGTATTCAGATTAATACTAAAAAATGATGCTAAAGATTCTTGAAGTCTCTTCAGGACATTTGCGAGCCCAGGTCCTGTCATTAAATTGAGTGTGATTCAATTATCCCACTGTTGTCACAGTCTTCTTCCCAAATTCACATTGTCAGGTGAACTCACAAGTTTTTCTCATCTAAATTTTTAATGTCTACAGTGTTTACTGTGGACGGCATTAAGGAACATTGTAATTGAACTCGTAGTATCTGAGCTGCCCTGTGGCAAACAGAAATTAAAACTTCCTAGAAATGAGTGACAAAAACATGAAGCAGTCAAATAGCAAGATTAAAAATCCCCGAAGGATGTTTATATTCCGATTTTTTTACAAAAATAACTTTAAAAGTAGAAATGCTTAAAAAGTGTTGCAGGGCTTTTGTTGTGCAATGCTTGCAGAAAATATTGGGAAAGCGTTGAAGTATACATCTTGGCTTGCGGGAGACAGGTTCCATTCTGTGATGGGAGTTGGGGGGAAAACGGTGTGAGCATTTCTTAAACATAAGTGTGCTAATTTGCATGCCTAAATATGGGAGGGCTGACAGCTCTTCCTCCTGAGCATCTTCCTAATCTGGAATATCCTGCATGTTCTGGGAAAATTGGAGCCTGGTTTCTGACACTAGGCTTCCTGGGGTGATATCTAGAATAATCTTTACATGCAAAATGTGTTTCATACAAAGTTTGTAGCCAAGTAGCCAAGAGGAATGAGGCTCTTCCACCCATTTCTCTACCACTAGAAAGCGCAAGTTTTAAACACCACTGTAGTTGGAACTGAACAGTGCTTTCTGCCAGTCTGGATTTAAAATAAAGGTGAATCCTTACTTTAACCTGACGTGAGGTTACTGTTGGAGTCGTTTCTAGTGTGACAGTTCAGCCTGTGCTCTCTCCTTCTTTGCCGGGACTGTGTCTGTAGCAGTTGTCAGCCTTCCAAACGCATTACCCATTGTCTTAGCTTTGTTGCAAGGGTCAGAAAATTTTCACACCTCTTGCCCTCAGAGTTTTTCTTACTGATCTTTAACTGCTTATCGTGTTACTTTCTGTGGCCTCATTTCTGCCAAAATCTGGAGTCGTGCACTAATTGCTTCCTGCTTGTGGTCTGTCAACTGTTTTCCTTCTGGGGCAGTCTGTCTTTTCCTTTACCCTTTCTGCTATATCCTCTCTGTAAAGCACGTTGTAAAAGAATCTGTTAACAGAGTCTTTAGCAAAAGTCCCATATGAGAAGTTGCGTGCTCAGCTGCAGTTCCACGTAGGCTTTTCTTAGCTGGCAAAGCCAGTTTGAACTTTCTGCCACAGCTTGACACTCTGAGCTATCGCCATGGTAGGCTGTTGTCCTACACCGCAAAATAATAACTATAATGTTTATTTAAAAAGGGGGAAGGGGCCTTCGGACTTTAACCTAAATGTCAGCCTCCACAAAGCGGGGCTGACAGACGCCTCGCTGCAAGCTGGTTACCCCTGGCTGGTACTGCAAGAGCCTTCGTTCAGAATCCGGGTTGTCAGCAACAGGGGCTCCGGTCTCTGTAGTAAGTTAGAGAGAAGGGAACAAAGAGCTTCCCCCAGCTACCTTTCCCTTGCAGCTGGTTCAGCTGTAGCTTGTTATTGAAACAAAAGTCAGCTCGTGACTCTCACAGGTCTTTGAGCTGCATTAGTAACTGGTGAATGTGCCTTGGGGATGGCAAGGGGGGCTACAGAAGAGCAGGGGGGTAGGAAGAAAGTATGAAACTCCCCAGTGGCCTTGGATAGGGCTGAGAGGAGTGAAGGAAAGCGTGTGTTGTGAAGAGTAGCTCTAGGGCTAGTCTGCGCTCATAGGGCATGATTTTTGCCTTGTCAGCCTTGAAATGTTCTTACACAGGTGGGAACTCTCACCAGGGCTTTGGTGGGTCCTTTCTGGGAAGGGGATTCACCTGGGAAGGAGCATCGCTGCCTTTCCCAGGCTCGGGTGTAAGTCCAGCACGATGTGGCTAACTGGAGTTTTCTTCTGTTGCAGCATCCAGCCTTGCCCAGATGTGAAATACGGCAAACGTATCCATGTGCTGCCGATTGATGACACGGTAGAAGGGATCACGGGGAATCAGGGGAAATCTGTTGGAGGTCTATCTCAAGCCGTACTTCCTGGAAGCGTACAGACCCATCAGGAAAGGTAATAGCACCTGTTACTGCAGTCCTGATGGCAGCGAGTGTGAGCTAGTCCTGAGACGGAATAAAGAGAATTTCTAGAAGCTTGCACAGATCTCTGTGAAGCATTAGACTGACATCCGTAGAGTGAGATTTTTGCTGGTGCTGATTTAATTTTTTTGTAATCTTCAGAAGAAAGGGTGATTGCTGCTGCTGGCTAGCAGAGCAGCTTGATAGTTCTGCATTTTTTTGCTGCGTGAGATGGGAGAGCATCAGAAAGGGTTCAGGTAGAACTCAGGAGAAAATCTCATTAACCTAAGTTGCTGCCACTTAATGGAATTGGGGAGTTGCCTGCATGTTAATCAATTGGTTGTGTATACCAGCTGGCACCCTGACTAAATTCACTTCTTCCAAGTAATTTAATTAATAACTGGGAGAGTGCATAGAAAACCAAATGCACTTTTGGAGTTGTGCTAGTAGCACTCCTGCTGGAACAAATAGGTCCTAATACACTATAAACGCTGGTTGAAATTATCCAGCCTCTGCAGCCCAGTTCAGCCAGGAGTCATGGTGCAGTATTATATATTATTCTGCTTCTGGAAATAACCAGTTATAACTAGTAACAACTAGTTATAATAACTTCAAAATGAACTTTTATTAAGTTAGGGCTTTTTGCCTGTTTTAGAAATGTTAAATTGAAACTGAATGGAAAAGAAATGTGATTCCTTGCCTCTGTGTTTTGTATTTAAGCAGAGTATTCTTTTCTATTGTTTGCTGGTTTTGTTTGCTGTTAGTGGGTGAAATTTGAGACCTTTAACTGCTGCGGATCTAAATGGTGCTCGGGTAGTCACAGTACATGCGGCTCTGGAGTTTAAAATGCAGAGCAGTGTTACAAATGCCAGCAGCGTATGCCTGCGTAACCCACTTCCTTGTCCTCTGGGGCTGCTGGTAGTACAAGGGTCGACATTTTGCAGACATCAGTTGCAGCAGGCTACTGAAGCGTGGGGTTTTACAGGTGACATCTTCTTGGTGCGTGGAGGGATGCGTGCAGTGGAGTTCAAAGTGGTGGAGACAGATCCAAGTCCATACTGCATAGTGGCTCCGGACACAGTGATCCATTGTGAAGGAGAGCCCATCAAACGAGAGGTGAGCAGAATCGGTACTCCTACTGAATCCCCTCTGTCCAAAATCCATTTCTGTGACAGTGCTTGAGAGCAGCAGTGTTTGCAGTTCCTCTTTTGGCATTTTATGTATTGAATGTAATGGTTAGAAACACCACTTTCAGGAGATGAGCTGCTGCTGAAGGCAGTCAAAGAAATGTGCTTCCAGTGTCTTTCCTCATATGCTGAGATAGCACCAGTGCGTAGGTTTGCTGACGAGATGTCACACTTTGGCAGCAGCTGCTTTTGCATCTGCTTCCAGATATCTCATGCTGGACTTAAATGCATCTTTTAATTCCAAAATTCCCTTGATCCATAGCAGGGAGAGCTTACAATGTTGATGAATTTCATGCCACGTGAAAAGAAAGCAATTAGTGCTTTTTCAGTGAGAAATTTGAAATCCCAAAATGGTTGACTTTAAAAAAAAAAATTTCCCTAGTCCCTTAAGGTGTCTAGCCTTGAGCGTCCCAAGCTTGAGGCAGCCTGAGTGGCTTGTCTGTCAGGTCTTGGCCACCTTACTGTTACAGTGTAGGAAGTCTCAGAGAAATGAGCCAAAGTGGTTGCATACTTTGCAAAGTACGTGCCTTTTTACTACCTGCAAATCAGGGTGCGTGCTGGTTTGTAGTTAGTTGCCTTCTGAAAAATTCACCTCTATGTGGCACTTGTGAGACTGCATCTGATGAGTAGTTTGGGCTCTTCAGGGTGCAGCAGAGACAGACGGGAGCAAGTTCAGCCAAGGCCACCAAAACGATGAGGAGCCAGAGGTCAGAATGAATGAGGAGGGGCTGGGAGAGCAGGATGATGCAGCCTGGAGAAGGGAGGGCAACGGGGCAGGCTTACTGGCAACTGCCTGATGGGAAGGGGTAGATGACTAGGCTCTTCTGAGAGCTGTGCCCAGGGACAGGACTAGAGGCAGTGGCATAAGCTGGATCAGGGGAAATTCCCAGCAGATGTTAGGAAAAAGGTTTCTCCCAACCCCAGAGCAGGGCCCAGAAAGGGCAGAAGTCTCCAAACCTGGAGACCTTCCGTGCTCGATAGGCCAGACCCTGAGTGACCTGCTTGATGTAGTGGTTCCCATTTACAGGGCTTGGACTAAGCCCCTCTGAGATTCCAGGCTGTGTTATTTTATTGTTTTAGTGTGGCCTAATGTTACAGATAACTAAGGTCAGTAGAGATTTGGACAGCCAAATGAATGGATACTGTGGAGCTATACTGGAAGAGCTGGTTACAGTTGATCTTATCTGTGTGTCTGGATCTTAACATTCTCTGTTAATTTGAGTCAATACCAAAAGACAGCACTGCATCCGAGAACTGTATGACAGCTAGAGTATGTCAAGTAGTTAGAGATACCACTTACAGTTTAAGGAATAAGTGTATTGAGCTTCATTGTGTATTGCTATCTTTGTTAGCCACGTCAGAGCATCGCAGAGCTTGTTTTGCGCTAGAGTCCGTTGGGAATCTGGCAGCAGAGGCTGTCATTCAAAAGGGTGGGCTTCAGTGAGGTCTGGGTATGCGGAGGCTAGGTACGTGCAGGCCATTCCCTTTATATGTCTGGGAAGACATCAGGAAGACTTGAAAGTGAGACTCTCAAGACAGCAAAGAAATGGCTATGAGAAAAAACCAGATTCCTGGCTTCTGTAGACTGGGAGGGGTTGTTGAACTATTGTTTTCACTCCAATGTTTAATATATTTCCTTCCGGATAGGACGAAGAGGAGTCACTGAATGAAGTGGGCTATGATGACATTGGTGGCTGCCGGAAGCAGCTGGCTCAAATCAAAGAGATGGTGGAACTTCCCCTCCGACACCCCGCGCTCTTCAAGGCCATAGGGGTGAAGGTAAGTCGCCGTGTGCACCAGGGGGATGGGTGGGCTTGCCCTTGCAGATGACTCTTGATGTCAGAGGTTTATGAGGCATTGGTGGGGAGAATAAGTAATTTGTGGGGTGTTTTTAATGCTGGTGTTAGGAAAGTATTTCCTTACATGTTCTGGACACAGATTAAAGTACTGGCAACTTGTAAAGCGGAGTGATGCTTTGAATCAGCGCTGTCAGTTACTGGCAAGGTTTCTGTTTGTGTGTCATGCAAAGTAGTAAGGGTGTTGATAGCAATGCTGGGATGGCAGCTGTTGCATGAGTTTGCATCACAGTTTCGGACTGGCTTTATCAAATGCTCACAATTTCACTGTGAAGCTACTTAGGCATTCAGATGCTAGCTCACTACCTAAGTCCCTTGCCTTTGTCCTCAGCCTCCACGTGGGATCCTGCTGTACGGTCCTCCTGGCACTGGTAAAACACTGATTGCCCGAGCGGTGGCCAACGAAACGGGGGCTTTCTTCTTCCTGATCAACGGTAAGTTTTGTGGCTGTTTTGGCCCCAGGTCTGCTGTGTGCTCATTCATCCATCTTATGGTAATGAATGGTGTTAATAGGGCTTGTAGAGCCACACTATCTGCCTGCCATCCTTCCCTGCCTCCTTCAAGTGTGCCTCTGGGGACAGTTGGAGGCCATTTGCATGGAAGCATCTGTAGTGGCACTTCCATTAAGCTTGATTGTGTTGTAGCAGGGTGGTTGGAAGCCAGCTTTGCAACACAGGGACTTGGAGTCTGTCTGGTTGGGTGTTCATTTATGTTGGTGAGGGCAGAGCTGGGAGTGAAGTGCTAAGATTATTCTAAGTATATGGGTGCAGGACACTTGCTTCTGTTGCTGCCACCATGTTCCGTTCAGAAAAGAAGCTGGTCTGCTGTGGATTTCTCTTTCCCCTCAAGTAAAGCACAAGACCTGTTTTGTTTCACGTAACATTAATTGGGAGGAACTTTAAGCTATAATGAGTACCTTGGGACTTGGCTACAAGTGAGAGAGCCACCTATTGATAACTCTTACCTGTAGCAGTTGAGATGGTTACTGGTTTATGTCCAGTAAGGACCAAATTCTGCATTTTCCTCATTGCTTTTCTGTCCCATTTTACTGTCAGTGCTGGAATAACTGAACACTTTTACTTAAGGAGTGCTGATTTTGTTTTCTGATTTCAATCACATAGACCCGCGAAGGCAATAGCAAAGGAGTGTATAGCACAGCATAACAGTGACCAGCAGTAGGGAAGTGACTTGCTTTGTATCTCAAGATATCAGATGTAAATGGGCTGGTTTTAACCATATGTCGCCCTTGTCAAACACTTACTAAAGTGTGTGGAAGCTGTCACTGAATGCTAATGAGCCAGCCATTTCTTCAGACACTTGCACTTCTCTTGCATAATAAAAATGCAAGTGATGCGTTCTCTGCTGGTCCCAAGCCTGGAGCTGCAGGTGGTGTAGTTGTAGACAGAGCTACCTGGTGAGTTACCAGTAATGAAACACTCCTAGTACCTGCCCGCACCAGTGGTTTTGTTTTGTTGGGTTTTTTAAAACTCGTTTATAGGGTCTTACAGAGGTAAATGTAAACCTGTGTAATGTAAGCTAAAGGCAGCTTCAGTATCTTAGAGGTTTTTCCTTCCCTACCCTGATAATTCATCACCTTATAATTTGATTGGTTCTCTTGCAAGCTAGGACTGGCATTAACAGTGTGTGGTGGCACATTACAGAGAAGCTCACCAAGTGTGAAATAGGGTAAGGAAAGAGGCAGCTAAAGGTAGCTCATTGACTAGTGCTGCGTTCTGTTAGAGTAAACGGAAACCAGCAGAATAATGATAGAAAGTAATTCTGCATGCCGTTCTTGCCTGTTCAGCTGCAAATTTAGTGAACTCAGTTGATAGTATTTGCTTCGGCTTGAAATGTAGATTGTCCCATGTGAACGTTGTCCTAAAAAAATTCAGCTGCGTGTCTTGGGGCTGGCTGTCTCTCTTCTGGGTGCCACAGTGCTGCTATTTTTCAGGTCCGGAGATCATGAGCAAGCTGGCTGGTGAGTCTGAGAGCAACCTGAGGAAAGCCTTTGAAGAAGCAGAGAAGAACGCTCCTGCCATCATCTTCATTGATGAACTGGATGCCATTGCTCCTAAGAGAGAGAAGGTAAAAAAAGCCTGTGGAAGGTAAAGAACTACATCCTTTTTGGTGGCAGCTGGCGTGAATCTCTGCATTTGACTACAGGGTAAAGCGATATTTACCTTAACACCTGATTTCAGTTGGACATGAGAAGAATCGGGTGTAGTTCATGATGTTTCTTAACAGCTCGCGGCTGTCGTATCTGTCCACTCTGGTGCAGTACTATTTCCTGTGCTGTGTTGTAGAGCCTTTGGTCTAACAGCTGCTTTGTCTCTCCATAGACACATGGAGAGGTGGAACGTCGCATAGTGTCTCAGCTGTTGACTCTTATGGACGGACTGAAACAGAGAGCACATGTGATCGTTATGGCAGCTACCAACAGACCTAACAGCATTGACCCAGCACTCAGGCGATTTGGTAACCATGATTGCTATCTTTTTGTGTGTGTGTGTGTGTGTGTGATTGAGCAGAAATTAATACTAAACATCTTCTGTGTGTTACATAAACTATTGACTTGTCTCCAGCTGAAAATTCATTTGAAATTCATTTCTAGGCTTCCAGCCTTTGGTATAATTTTCTTTGCCCTTTTAGGTTAGAACTTGTAGAAATGAAAAAATGCTTCAAAGTGGAAAAGTGTGCTAACCTCTGTTAGGTGAAGCTATTTCAGGACATACTGAAGGAATAAGTGCCTAAGGGGATGTTCATGCCTTAGGTTGCAGACGGCTCTGAATTGTCTGATTTCTCTTTCTTTTATTGATGAGAAGTCCGGTAGTTTCAGAGATTCAGGTTTTCAAAACTTAGCATCATGAATGAATGTCCGGTGTATGACCAGTTGGTAAAAATCTGTAATAGCAAACCAGTCAAGTGTGCAGGGGAAAAAGGCCTCTTACATGTGTAGCGAGCCATTTGAATGCACAGCTATGGCTAGAGGAAAATGATAGGTGTACGTACCTTCGTTAATATTGCAGTGATACTTAGGTTTCCTGCCTCTCCAGATGTTGGGGCAGTTCATGTTTGTCACCACTTGGGTACTGCTATGAAAGTTCTGAAAAACTAAATCCCTCAGTATTTGCACACTCTTGTGATGAGGACACAAAGGCAGAAATAAACAAAAATGTATCCTGGTATGTTGGTTTGGGGAAGCATATTTTCCTAAAAATCAGGCTCAGAAAAAGTTACTAAACTAGCAATCCTCTGTGTCACATAATCTTGAACTCTAGCTAATACAGTAGTCTCACTTTCCCTGAATGGCTAAAGCCTTTCCTCCTTCTCTAATCTGACTGTGCTACTGTGCTGATAGATGCTGCAGAGAAACCCAAAGCTCTGGCATTTTCTGAAATTGTATGTGTTTGTGGCTTGTCATCGTGTTGTTCAGTCAGAGGAAGGCAGCAACTGCAGCTCCTCTGGTTCGCAGGATCAGCAGCTCAAAGTATGTTTTGTACTCCCCAGGTCGTTTTGACAGAGAGGTCTGGAACAGGTGAGTAGCGTGCTGTTAGGAAAGCTTGTCTCTGCAGGCAGATGTTCCCAGTGCTCTGTTTGTAGTGGAAGAGTTGTTAAGGCTTGCTCGCATAAATGTAGTTGCTCATTTAGGACAGCATGAAACTGGGTGAACATGTAATCTTTGGGCTTCCTTCTAACTAGTTTACCAGTGACCAAAAATCTTCACTCGCTAGTGAAGAATGGCATGGCTAAATGAAATAAATGTGTATCAGTCCAGTCTGGAAGTGCCTTGCCACTGTCCTCCTGGGTTTGTTTGCTGTGGCATTCTCTTTAAAAATAAAGCAAGCCTGAAACAGTGCTCACAGAGCTGGGTGAACATTGTGGTGATACTGGATGGTTACTGTAATCTCTGTCCTGAATGAAGAACTGCAGTCCTCAGGGTTATCTTTGTGCGCACTGCCCGAATTCCAGTTGCAGCTTTGATCTCAAGTAGGAAGTGAAACAGCGGTGTCTTTGCCTGTTCAATACGTGGTAGCATTTGTCTTGAATCCGCAGCAAAGCGCTGATGTTCCTGTCCTCCAGAGCTTTGTTGCACTTCCCAGCGAGTGACCAGAGCGTGCATTGCCCTTGCAGAGCGCTTGCTTGTATCCTTGAGTCATAGTCAGTGCTCTGCTTTCAGGTGGCAAACGAGACCCATGGCCATGTTGGTGCTGACTTGGCTGCTCTTTGCTCAGAAGCTGCTCTTCAGGCTATCAGAAAGAAGATGGATCTCATAGACCTAGAAGATGAAACCATCGATGCTGAAGTGATGAACTCGCTGGCTGTGACCATGGATGACTTCAGGGTAATGGAGGAGTGCCTCTCTTTCTTTTGGGTGCAATATCGAATTGCTTATCTGAAGCAAGTGAGCATAATGTGTTGGAATTCATATAATGCTGTTTCTTGTAACGACAGTGGGCTCTGAGCCAGAGCAACCCTTCTGCTCTTCGGGAGACAGTGGTGGAGGTGCCACAAGTTACCTGGGAAGATATTGGTGGTCTAGAAGATGTAAAGAGAGAACTCCAGGAGCTTGTACAGGTAAGTGTTTCTGACAGATTTTTGCCTAGTCAGCTTGAAAAATAGTTATAATAATAAAATCCGGAACTTCTTCAGATTCCCGTTTGGGTTGGGAACAGGGTAAACGCAGAGGTTTTTGTGGTCTTTGCTTGTAATGGACTAAGAATAACATGCTGTTCCACCTTGGTGAACTTGAAGAGGAAGCAGCATCAGGCTTTCCTTAGCTGAGTCTACAGTGTCATCTTGGGTGGGTGATGTGCTACATGCAGCAGTTCTGCTTCTCTTAAGTGGAGACCAGCAGTGGGACCGCTGCTGAGAATCCTCTTACGTGGTAGCTTTGTATGCCGGCAAGTGGATGAAGATTCTCATACAGAGAGCCTCCGAAGGGCTTCCCATCAGCATTAGCACAGGGACAGGTGAGAAGTAATTGTGAAGCCTTCTACGAAGGGAAAAACTGGGACAAAAAGTCATGAATGGTCTGTAGAAACATCCTGTCAGTGAATAAAAGAATCTAATTTTCAATCTAATTTTTTGATGCTAAAATCACCTACCTCTGACCTCATTGCTGAGGATAAATGCTCACATCAGACACCTTGCCTGTCTCCGGAGAGCAGAGAGAATAGGTTAGGTAATGAGCTGTTCCCTTTTGCTTCTGCAGGGCTGAGTGAGGTTGGGGTTAAGTGTGCTGGAAAACTACCTGAACGGGTCCTTTAGTTCTTAGAGGTAAATCGGTTGTTTAAGGCAACTTTCCAGTGTAGCCATGGTGCTTTTCAAACCCATGTCCATTTAAAAACTCCAGTGGCACCGAGCAGGCAGGATCTTGTGTTTAACCCACCAGAAATCTCAGGTAGTGTTTCTGGAAGGAGGAGAAACAAAACTGACCTAGAGAAAGATGTCCCTACCCATGGCAGAGGGGTTGGACTAGATGATTGTTGAAGGTCCCTTCCCACCCAAACCATTCTGTGATGGTACAGGTACAGGCCTGTTCTGGCTCATCACAAGAGGTTTTTGTTTGCTTGTTTTGTTCTTCAGTATCCTGTGGAGCACCCAGACAAGTTCCTCAAATTTGGTATGACCCCATCGAAAGGGGTTCTGTTCTACGGTCCACCTGGTTGTGGTAAGACGCTGCTGGCCAAAGCCATTGCCAACGAATGCCAGGCAAACTTCATTTCCATCAAGGGGCCGGAATTGCTCACCATGTGGTTTGGCGAGTCTGAAGCCAACGTGCGTGAGATCTTTGACAAGGTAAGCGTTTCTTCCACTCCCTGGGCTGTGTTTGTGCTGAGGTACCCCCAGAACTTGGTCTCCACTGCGTCTGTCTTACTGGCCTGGTTCTTGTTTGTAGCTTTTGTGTTTTCCCCACTTGCACTGAGAGCAGGGGCTGCTTTCCTGATGTTGGGGAATGAATCCTCTTCAGCACCATAGCTGTTTAAACTGTTTTCTTTGGCTGCAGTTTCCATCTGTTGTTACAGGATGATAAATGCCCCAGTGCCTTAGCAGTGAGGCTAGCATTAGGATGGCATAGATACCCCTCCACATCCCTGGAAACTTACCTTGACACCTCATTAGCTGTCACCATATACAGATTTTCAAAATATCCTGTGGATTCTTGTTCTGCAATGTGCATGGCTTGGAAAGGAGCTCGCTCCTGCTGCCCAGTTGACCTGTATATAGTGTTGCCTCCTGTCCCAGAAGGTATTTGCATGGATTGTCCTGGGAATCCGCGCTCCTGTTGGCAGGGAAGGTGCTGATAGAACAAAGTTGGAAGGAGAGAGAGAGAGGGGTGAGAAAAATTTAGGTTGGGAGGGAACCTCCGAGGCCATCTAGTCCAGCTGTTTGTCCAGAACTTGGAAATGCGATCAGGTTGCTCAGTGCCTCATGTTCTGACCATGTGCTAAGGATGGAGAATCCCTGACCTCTCTGGGCCTGCGTGCCAGTGTTTGAGATCTCTCACTGTGAAGAAGTTGGGTTTTTTTTCCTTATTTCTAACTGGAATTTTCTTTGCAGCCATTTGTGCCTGTGGTCTGTCATCCTTTCACTGCACACCTTGAAGAAAGATCTGGCTCCCTTT